GACTCAGAAGAGTTAATTAATTTCTCTCCCGTTCCCTCCAGCATAGGCCTCTCCTGCAGCCATGGATGTAAGTACGCCAAATCAGATACCGGTAAAACACACTGTATGCCTGCCGGCTATGAGCTCAAGTCGGGGAGTCGGCTATTCACGAGAAATGGAATGCGAGAGGTACGAACACATTTTGACGGCGCAGAAACTGCCCGAAGCCAGTGTGGGAAGCCCACAGTTGACCAGAGTGGCGCTACGGAGTGGCCTAAGTCCTGCAAAATTGGGCATCAGATAAGCAGACGTGTAATGGAGTGGAAAAGTTGGTGTGTAAAAGGAAGCCATGCATTTTTTGCCCAGGCCCTGGGCAAAGTGTCTCGCTGTATGTCATCTCCACACTGGGTTAATTCAACCTCACAGCAACTGTACAGCTGAGGAAATTGGACTGAGCGGCCACCACTGCTCCACGAGTGTGCAAGTGAAGAAGAATTGGCGTCTCTGTGGGGCCAATTCATGAATCCCTTCCAAGCAGGTTGCTCTTCGGAAGGAAAGTCGAGTCGCATCACCCTCGTGTAATGTAACCCTGGGCTCAGTTTCACCGTGTGTTCACACGCCTACCGATGTGCATGACATCTCCGCAAGCTAGAGCTATCTTTGCTGGTCGCCAATAGTTGGAACTTCGACATTCGGACTGGGTTGAACTACGAGAATCTTGTTGCTGATAGATACAAGTCACGCTTGAACGTATGGCAGTAACTCAGAGGCGGGGTTCTGGAGAAATTGCTAAGTCGGCCAGTGAAGCAAGTGAGGAAGGTCTCTTTCATGCTTAGGTCGAGTCATGGTGACTTGGAATTGCTAGGCCCTTCTGCTTTGTGTACCTTCTCTTGTTTAGGCCGCGGCACTCGTCCCCATGGCCCGCCAAACATCATCCTCTTTGCCTCACATCCTAGCCTTTACTTCATGCATCCACTCCCCCCTTCGAAATGTGCATTGCGGAATGCAACCCTTGCCACAGCAACTGTCGAGTCGTCTCAAGTGTCAAAAATCAGAGACATAGAAGCCTCTTCGTCATTAAGCCGTTATTCAGTCATGGCTTCTGTGCCCTGACAAGTCGAGTGCCGGGCTTTTTCTCCTGTCTCCCACATCCGTGCTCCTACAAGTACTGGCTTGAGGTTAATTGGGGCTTGCAAGTACTTGGCCGTAAAATAAACTAAGAATCAGCCGACCGGGGTCTACAAGGCAGTCATAATGGGCATGTGTATGTATTCCTGACACACACACACACACACAAGTATTTGCATGGGGTGTGGCAGTGTTTTCGGACTTGCATGCTACATGCTCATGAATTGGGGATTCCAGTTATGAGATTCGTCAGGCATGCCTACTAATTGGAATCCACTCTCGTTGCTGGGCCGATTCCAGTACATAAGCCCAAGTATCCTGTCCTGCAGGCCTGAAGATAAAGCAAGTGAGCCTAAGTGGAAGCTCCATCAAGGTAATGGGACAATGAAGTAAGAGACTCAAACCCCACCTAGACCTGGTAACCAAAAGAGAAATTGACATTCTCTTTGCTAGCACTGGTCCGAAGGCCCAAAGGTCTTCGTTGTGAGTCCAGTGTCTAGATGGGAGACCACTTGGCGCAGGTCCTGCCTCATCATCTGTGGCTTAGCAGCGATGGAATCAACTCACTTGAATGTCTTTGTCTGGAATTTTCTTTTTCGACCCCTCTTTAGAACCGAGAGCAGTCAGCCCCAAAAGTCCATTGATCAAATCAAAAATGGCAATGGTGAAATGATAAACAAATTGAAGTGTTGACAAACTTTCTTAACAAGTTTTCGTTCTATAAGCAGGTTTTCAACCACCAGTCCCACTATCACTTTAAACGAAACAGTGTGAATACGTCTCATATTTGCTGTGCTTACTTCCATTTCTAGTGAAAGTGTTTGGTGTTGAGAGTCGAAGGTCGATTCCACCAGAAGACGACGGCGGATTCCTCTTGACCAGAATTAAACGGAACAGGCGTTCCTTTTTGCTGTCCTAGTTACTTTGAGCCATCACTGCGGGTTTCGTGCATAAGCGAACACAAACAGGCACATGGACATACAGAGACAGACACACTCG